AAAAAAAAAGGGGAAAAATTTTAATTTAAAAACCACCCATAATAAAAAAAAAACGGCATGGGGTCCCCCCCCCCCATCCACACCAACCCTTGGGTTGGGTATGGATTTTAAAGGGGGGAACTCCACGCCAAAAAATTAAAAAAAAAAACAGCTTGGGGCCCCCCAAAATCCATACCAGCCCCTTTACCGACATGCGGGCCCGGCAGGTAAAAAAAAGGGGGGGGGGGGGGGGAAAAAACGAGCCTGAACCAAACAGGCCACAGCCCCCCCCCCCCCCAAAACATGGGGGGGGTTTTGGGGGGGAAGGGGGGCTCCCCAAAGGGGCACCTTTTGGTTCCCCCCTGTTAAATTTTAAAGGGGAAAAGGGCCTTCTTCCGTAGTGGGGAAAATTGGTCAGCCATTTTTGGGGTTTTTTAGCATATTTTTTTTATCGAAAAGTTGGAAAATTTTTTTTCCCAAAATTCCCATGATAAAAAAAATGTGCCAAAAATTTTAAAAACGGCCGCCCAAATTAACCCACTAACGGCCCCAAAAAATTGTTTTTTTTTTTTTTGCCAAAAAAAACCGATCGTTTTAGACCCATCTAGGCCGCTTTGAGGGGCCTAAAATCGGCCAAAAAAAAGGGGCGTTTTGGGGCCCGTTAGTGGGTTAATTGGTCAGCCTTTTTTTGGGGATTTTCCACTTTTTTTAATGGGTAAATTTTGGAAAAAAAAATCCCCCGATTTTCGACGGCCTTTTTAGCGGCAATGATCAAAAAAAATTGGCTGATCTTTTTACAGAAAAAAAATTCGCATAGCCTGCCGCAAAAAAAGAAGAATAAAAAAAAAACAAAAAAGAAGAAAAAGAAAAATCAGGCCATAGTGGGGCAAAAATGACTGTTTTTTTAAAAAAAAAAAAAAACGAAAAATCGTTGTTCAATGGGCCGAGTTACCACCAACGGAAAAAAAAATTGTCCGATTTTCGCCCCGTCGGGGCCAGCAAATAAATACGAATAATTACTTCGCCCCTGCAAGAGCGCGCTATTATTTTGACTTAAAAAGTATAAAGGTTGAAACTTTTGTACTATTTGTATCGAAAAAAAAAATCTATATCCGAAATGGATACAATTAAAAAGGTTTAGGGGGCGGGGCCAGGGGACTCACCCCCGCCCCTTACCTATTTAAAATTATTTCCCCCCTTTAAATTTAAAAAATAACGGGAACATCTACAGTTCTTTTATGGTTGGGGCCCACCGGAAAAAAAACGGTGAACCCCCCCCAAAATTTTCCACCCCCGCCCCTTACCGAAGCTGAGCCCCACGGGAAAAATTTTGAATGCGAGCGCCCCCCCCCCCCCCCCCCGGTTGGGGGCTGGGGGGGGGGACGGTTTCAGGGGGGGCCCCCCCTCGTCCCTCCCCCCCCCCTTTTTTCTGCCTGCCGGGGGATTTAATGGGGTCGGAGGTTTAAGGCCCCGTTGTTTTTTTTTTTTAATTTTCGGCAGGTTTTCCCCGCAAAATTCCAAAAACCCCTAAGGGGTTGGGTTGGAAAAAAAAACCCCGGGGTTTTGTTTTTTTTTTATTGCGGACCTTTATTTTTACATTAGCGGCAAAAAAAATTTTCTAACCTTTGAAAAAAATAAAAACATACGAAATAATTAAAAGGGTAAAAACAAAATAGAACCTAGAACAAGGAAATCAAATTTGAAACTAAAGATAGCAGTGCGTTTTTTAAACCAAAAGACCGACCGATGTCCCGGCTGTCAGAGGAATCCACGTGGATTTACTATTGGGGAGGGGGTAAAAGCAAAAAACCCCGAGGACGCTAAAATGTTTCGACAGTCGTTAATCGGGCCCAAAAACACTGCACAAGCGTTAGTTTTTTACTGTGTTGATTTTTAAAAAAACAATTTTAACCTTCTTTTTTTTTTTTTTTTAAAAGGCGAATTGTTTAAAGTGAATTCTAAAATTTGGCAAAACAAATTTTTAAGTGAACTGTCCTGCTGATTTTTTATGGGGTTTAAAGGGGTTACAAATTGCTTTGGTGGGCTATTTCCGGGGGTGTTCTCTTTGTAAAAAATTGGGGGTCTACTTTGGACCTGCTCAAAATTTAAAACTGTTTGCGGGTAAAAAATAGATGGGGGCTCATAAAAATTAGCGTTTTGCCCACGGAAATGCCCCAGGCACAATAGTAAAAAAGGGCCTTTATATCGGATTGTGATTGAGCACAGACTTTTTGATGGTGTAATTGTATAATATCCTTCGACCTTGGACCCAAAACAGAAAGTGATAATAGGGGGTGTCAATAAACCCCAAAGAGGTGGCTCAGGATGGGGGGGGAGTCAATACCCAGTGCTGGGGTCTTCAGTGGGGAGGGGTCAATAACCCCAAAATGGTGGTCTTCAGATGGGGGGAGTCAGTAACCCAAAGATGGGCAAGAGAGGGAGGGGTCAATCCAAAGATGGTGGTTTTAGAATGGGGCGGAGCCAATAAAACCCAGTGATGGTGGCTTCAGGATGGGGGAAGTGATGGTGGTCTTCAGGATCAGTCCAGTCCTTACCTCATTCTTGGTTGTTGTTCTCCCCCCATCTTCACTCTCTGACCTCTGGTGGGAGCTCAGCCCCTCTGTTCTTAAGACTAAATCATGGACTAATTAGGATCAGGAAGTGCAGTACCTTCTGGTTGGAAAGATGGCGTATGATAGTGATAGAGGGGAGGGGGGGACCTCGTCCTATAATCCCCTCATCACTGTCCCTCCTATAAAGACAGATTTCTGGTTGTTCCTCACTCTCTGACTAAGGTCCATGAATCAAGAAATGACCTGGTAGGAGATCAGAGGAGCCATTTCCTAGTTCCCTTGAGGGTGGAATTGGAAGCTCCTCAGAGACCAAGCTGGCTGATGTGGGCGGATTCCTGGTTTGGGGGAACCAATCAGCTCCTGTCTAGTAATCCTCTTTGTCTTTGTATTTTAGTCCATGGCCGGGAGATTAGGAAAACCTCAGAGGATTGTCTCACTTTGTCTCCAGACTGGAAAGTAGAAGATGAGGACATCACACAGTATAGTCCAGGAGAAAACCCAGTTCCCTCCAGTGTCCATCCGGCACCACCCAGTGTAGATGGACCATCGGATTCCTCGTATCCTGAGGAACCTCAGACTGTGCGGGACCGGGCCGGCCTTCCAACAGGGAAGAGCTTCTCCTGTACTGAGTGCGGGAAATGTTTTCGGTTTAAAACCAGCTTTAATGTGCATAAAAAATCTCATACAGGTCAGAACCCCTCTTCCTGTGCTGAGTGCGGGAAGATTTTTTCATTGAAATCCAGTATTTACAGCCATCGAAGATCTCACATGGGGGAGAAGGCACTTTCTTGTCCTAAGTGTGGGAAATGTTTTGTACAAAATTCAGACCTTTTTGAAACCTCAAAAGTCTCACATGGGGGAAGAAATGTATTCCTGTCCAGAGTGCGGTAATTTTTTTCCAAAGAAATCACCTCTCAGCAGCCATCCGATATCACACATGAGAGAGAAGCCGTATTCCTGTTCAGTGTGCGGGAAATGTTTTTCACTGAAGTCCAGGCTTCACCTACATCAGAGATCTCACACGGGGGAGAAGCCATTTTCCTGTTCTGAGTGTGGGAAATGTTTTGCAAATAAATCACAACTTGTCGTACATAAGAGGTCTCACACAGGGGATAAACCATATTCCTGCTCTGAGTGCGGGAAATGTTTTTCAGACAAGTCCAATCTTTCCAGACATCAGAGATTGCACACAGGGGAGAAGCCATTTTCCTGTGCTCAGTGTTTGAAATGTTTTTTAAGAAAATCAGATCTTATCACACATCAGAGATCTCACACGGGCGAAAAGCCATATTCCTGCCCTGAGTGCGGAAAATTTTTTTCAGGGAAGTCCAATCTTTACCGACATCAGAAATTGCATACAGGGGAAAAGCCTGTGTCCTGTTCTGAGTGCGGGAAATGTTTTGTACGAAAATCAGATCTTGTTATACATCAGAGGTCTCACACAGGGGAGAAGCCGTATGCCTGTCCTGAGTGCGGGAAATGTTTTTCAGTCAAGTCCCATCTTTACAGGCATCAGCGATTGCACACGGAGGTGAAGTCATATTCCTGTTGTGAGTGCAGGAAATGTTTTTTACACAAATGTCAGAACTTGTCACACATCAGAGATCGCACATGGAGGAAAAGCCTTTTTCCTGTCCCGAGTGCGGGAAATGTTTTTCACTTAAGTCGTATCTTTACAGACATCGGAGATTGCACACGGAAGAGAAGACACATTCCTGTCCTGATTGCGGGAAATGTTTTGTACGTAAATCAGATCTTGTCAAACATCAAAGGTCTCACACAGGGGAGAAGCCGTATGCCTGTCCTGAGTGCGGGAAATGTTTTTCAGTGAAGTCCCATCTATACAGACATCAGAGATCACACATGGGGGAGAAGCCACGTTCCTGTCCTGAGTGAGGGAAATGTTCCTCACTGAAGTCCTGTTTTCCTGTACATATGGGGTCCCACACAACCCTCGAGGTGTATTAGTGCCTTGAGTGCGGGAAATGTCTTTTAGATGAATGTTGCTGGACATCCCAGCTCTCATCTGGGGAAGAAGCACACCCTGATATACACCTTAGATATACTCCATGGCTGATCTTCATTATGGAAGAAACAGTTGATCAGGAGATCAGAGGTCTCCAGAGACATGGATGAAGTGTGGGACCGGGTTGACCATTGATAGCAGGAAAAGAATAAAAATGGCTCCCTGACCTGTCATTGGCTGAGGACATTTTGTGGTGTAAGCTTTTGCAAACACAACTTGTGAATGTTTTTATTAACAATCTGTTGAATGAAAGTGAAAGCATACCATGAGTCAAGTGCAAGGAGGTCCATGCCATCTTGTATGCGCTTGATATACAGCGCCTTGAAAAAGTCTTCACACCCCCTTGAAATGTCCCCCATGTTGTTATGTTACAATGTATTTATTGGGATTGATTGTGATAGGCTGACACAAAGTGGCACATAATTTTGAAGTGGAAGGAAAATGAGAAATGGTTTCCAACATTTTTTTACAAATAAATCTGTGAAAAGTGTGGCATGCATTTGTATTCATCCCCCTTTACACTGATGCTCCTAACTAAAATCTAGTGGAGCCAATTGCCTTCAGAAGTCACCTCATTAGTACATAGAGTCCCCCTGTGTGTCAGGTGATCTCAGTATAAATACAGCTGTTCTGTGAAGCCCTCAGAGGTTTGTTAGAGAACATTAGTGAACAAACAGTATCATGAAGGCCAAAGAACACATCAGACAGGTCAGGGATGAAGTTGTGGATAAGTAAAGCAGGGTTAGGTTATAAAAAGATATCCCAAGCTTTGATCATCTCACGCAGCACTGTTCAATCCATCATCCGAAAATGGAAAGAGTACGGCACAACTGCCAACCTACCAAGACATGACAGACCGGGCAAGGAGAGCATTCATCAGAGAAGTAGCCAAGAGGCCCATGGGAACTCTGGAGGAGCTGCAGAGATCCACAGCTCTGGTGGGAGAATCTGTCCACAGGACAACTATTAGTTGTGCACTCCACAAATCTGACCTTTATGGAGGAGTGACAAGAAGAAAGCCATTGTTGGAAGAAAGCCATAAGAAGTCCCGTTTGCAGTTTTCGGGAAGCCATGTGGGGGACACAGCAAACGTGGAAGATGGGGCTCTGGTCAGAGGAGACCAAAATGGGACTTGTTGGCCTAAAAACAAACCGCTATGTGTGGCGGAAAAACTAATACTGCCCATCACCCTGAACACACCATCCCCACCGTGAAGCATGGTGGTGGCAGCATCATGTGGTGGGGATGCTTTTCTTCAGCAGGGACAGGGAAGCTGGTCAAAGTTGATGGGAAGATGGATGGAGCCAAATACAGGGCAATCTTAAAAGAAAACCTGTTCGAGTCTGCAGAAGACTTGAGACCGGGGCGGAGGTTCACCTTCCACCAGGACAACGACCCGAAACATCGAGCCAGAGCTACAATGAAATGGTTCAGATCAAAGCATCTTCATGTGTTAGAATGGCCCAGTCACAGTCCAGACCCAAATCCAATGGAGAATCTGTGGCCAGACCTGAAAATTGCTGTTCCCAGACACTCTCCATCCAATCTGACAGAGCTTGAGCGATTCTGCAAAGTAGAATGGGCAGAAATGTTCCTCTCTAGATGTGCAAAGAGACATCCCCAAAAAGACTTGCAGCTGGAATTGCAGCCAAAGGGGGTTCTTTGTTTTAGAAGTAAACATCTGGTGTCTTGGAAACGTTTGCACAAGCTGTCCTCTAATACAATGGGAAACCACTGTAGATACTATTGTTGGGCGAATGTCAACTGACAGTTAGCTGCTCCCTTTGTGTTACAGGAATTCTAGTCGAACGATGCATCAGGGGAACAATAGTTTGAGCTTTTGACATATTTGACATCTGTCATGCATGATACCAGATGTTCTTTCACAGTAACTAATGCAGAAAAGGATACACCTACACCTCACTGGCCACTTTGAGGTTCACTTGCTGGGTAACACAGATTGCTAATCAGCCAATCACATGGCAGCAACTCAATACATTTAGGCATCTAGACGTGGTGAAGACGACTTGTTGAATTTCAAACTGAACATCAGAATGGGGAAGAAAGGGGATTTAAGTGACTTTGAACGTGGCATGGTTGTTAGTGCCAGGCGGGCTCAAAAACTGCTGATCTCCTGGGATTTTCCCACACAACCATCTCTAGGGTTTACAGAAAATGGTCCGAAAAAGAGAAAATATCCAGTTAGAGGCAGTTGTGTGGAGGAAAATGCCTTGTTGAGGTCACAGGAGAATGGGCAGACTGGTTCCAGATGATAGAAAGGCAACAGTAACTCAAATAACCGCACGCTACAACCAAGGTTTGCAGAATACCATCTCTGCACGCACAACATGTCCAACCTTGAAGTAGATGGACTACAGCAGCAGAAGACCACACTGGGTGCCACTGCTGTCATCTAAGAGCAGGAAACGGAGGCTACAATTCACACAGGCTCCCCAAAATTGGACAACAGAAGGAAAAACATTGCCTGGTCTGATGAGTCTGTATTTCAGCTGTGACATTCAGATGGTAATTTGGTGTAAACAACATGAAAGCATGGATCCATCCTGCCTTGTATCAATGGTTCAGACTGGTGGTGAGATGATGTGGAGGATCCATTCTGCCTTGTATCAGTGGTTCAGGCTGGTGGTTGTGTCATGGTGTGGTGGATCCATCCTGCCTTGTATCAATGGTTCAGGCTGGTGGTTGTGTCATGGTGTGGTGGATCCATCCTGCCTTGTATCTGCAATTCAGGCTGGTGGTGGTGGTGTTATGGTGTGGTGGATGCATCCTGCCTTGTATCAATGGTTCAGGCTGGTGATCGTGGTGGATCCATCCTGCCTTGTAGCCACGGTTCATGGATGTGCACCCGACAGCAACTGCGTGATGCTATCATGTCCATATGGACCAAAATCTCTGAGGAATGTTTCCAGCACTTTGGTGAATCTATGCCACGAAGAATGAAGGCAAAAGGGGGTCCAACCCGGGACTAGCGAGGTGGACCCATTAAAGTGGCTGGTGTGTGTATACAGGAGTGTCTACCTAAACTTTCCAAATAAAAGGCCAGCTTCATAAGCTGAAAAGGAGGCTCCATAATGACATAACAACAAGGAAAGTCTGTTGTAGAAGAAACGTTACTTGAGGATGATGCTAGCGTCTGATTTCTTCCCTGGAGCCTTGGTTGCCTACGGAGATCGTGAAGCTGCCATTACCTGAGTGAAGTAAGTTTCTGGTGTATTCCTATTGTACACAGAACATTGCTCATTCGCTAGGAAGTTTAGGTAGCGTGTACATGTGTTGCTTTAGGCAGGTCTGAAAAAATGCTGGAAATGAAGAATGTTTATCCCCCCTCCTAGTACACATCCCCCCAATCTCCCCTCCTAGTACACCCCCCCCCCAATCTTCCCTCCTAGTACATATCCCACCTCCTAGTACACCCCCCCAATCTCCCCTCCTAGTACATATCCCACCTCCTAGTACACATCCCCCTCCAATCTCCCCTCCTAGTACATATCCCCCCTAAGCCCCCCTTCTAGTACATATCCCCCCTAAGCCCCCCTTCTAGTACATATTTAACCTCCTAGTACACGCACCCCCCAATTTCCCCTCTTAGTACACATCCCCCCCCATCTCCCCTCCTAGTACATATCCCACCTCCTAGTACACATCCCCTCCCAATCTCCCCTCCTAGTACATATCCCACCTCCTAGTACACATCCCCCCCCAATCTCCCCTCCTAGTACATATCCCTCCCCAATCTGCCCTCCTAGTACATATGCCTCCCCAATCTGCCCTCCTAGTACATATCTCTCCCTAATCTCCCCTCCTAGTACATTTCCCACCTCCTTGCACATACCCCCCCCCCCCATCTCCCCTCCTAGTACATACCCCCCCAATCTTCCCTTCTAGTACATATTCCCCCCCCCCCCCTCCTAGCACATACTGAATCTCCCCTCCTAGTACATATAGCCCCAATCCCCCCTCCTAGTACATATCCCCCCTAAGCCGCCCTCCTAATACAAAGCCCCCCTCTTAGTACATATTCCCCCCTCCTAGTACATATCCCCCCTCCTAGCACATATCTCCCAAATCCCCCCTCCTAGTACATAAATTCCCCCCACATTTCCCCCTCCTAGTACTTATCTCCCCCATTCCTCCTCCAAGTACATACAGTCAGGTCCATAAATATTGGGACATCGACACAATTCTAACATTTTTGGCTCTATACACCACCACAATGGATTTGAAATGAAACGAACAAGATGTGCTTTAACTGCAGACTGTCAGCTTTAATTTGAGGGTATTTACATCCAAATCAGGTGAACGGTGTAGGAATTACAACAGTTTGCATATGTGCCTCCCACTTGTTAAGGGACCAAAAATAATGGGACAATTGGCTTCTCAGCTGTTCCATGGCCAGGTGTGTGTTATTCCCTCATTATCCCAATTACAATGAGCAGCTAAAAGGTCCAGAGTTAATTTCAAGTGTGCTATTTGCATTTGGAATCTGTTGCTGTCAACTCTCAAGATGAGATCCAAAGAGCTGTCGCTATCAGTGAAGCAAGCCATCATTAGGCTGAAAAAACAAAACAAACCCATCAGAGAGATAGCAAAAACATTAGGCGTGGCCAAAACAACTGTTTGGAACATTCTTAAAAAGAAGGAACGCATCAGTGAGCTCAGCAACACCAAAAGACCCGGAAGACCACGGAAAACAACTGTGGTGGATGACCGAAGAATTCTTTCCCTGGTGAAGAAAACACCCTTCACAACAGTTGGCCAGATCAAGAACACTCTCCAGGAGGTAGGTGTATGTGTGTCAAAGTCAACAATCAAGAGAAGACTTCACCAGAGTGAATACAGAGGGTT